GGGGTTGATGCAGGGGTGATGGGGGGAGCAGGGGTCCGCAGTGCCAGCACTGCTCCGATGGCGAAGCATCTCCCTGCGAAGAGCGCGCTGCTATTTTTAGTCATTGAGTCCTTTTTGATGGCGCAGCAGCGAAGGCGAGGGAGCAGCCGGAGGAGCAGCAGGGCTGGAGGGCGCTGGATCAGGCCCCGCGGGATGAGCAGCAGCTGGGAGGTGAGGCCGGGGTGCGGGGGGCCGGGGGATGCCCTCTGCGCCCGGGGCCGACGCGTTGCGGGCCTTGGGTGCTTACCGAGGGTCCCCTGCCATGGAAAGTCCTGGGCTGCCTTCAGAGGGCTCCAGATCCTGCCCTGCTGTGTCCCTGCCAGCCGAGGGGAAGGGGGAGGAAAGGGGAGCAGGCAGGGAAAGAAGGAGGGATGAGGGGGGGAGGAAAATAACACCAAACCCAGCCACGCAGCACAAATCCTCCCGAGCAGCAGGCAGGCTGCGAGGCACTGCGCGAGCGGGCGCCTGCAGCAGCAGGGCTGCGCTGACCTGGCAGTGCCGCGCTGTGCCCCGGCTCAGCTCCCGGCACCAGCCCTGTGCACCGCATCAGCTCCGTGCACCGCATCAGCCTCGTGCACCGTCTCAGCCTCGTGTACCACATCAACCCCGGGCACCATGTCAGCCCCATGCGCTGCAGCATGGTCTCGTGCACCACAGCATGGCCCCGGGTCATGCACCAGCTCTGGGAGGTGCAGCGGGTCCTGCGTGTCCCCGAAGGGTGACGCCGGGGCTGTGCTGGGAGCTGTGGGGCCGGCTGGGCTGTCCACGTGTCCCTGGGGACTGAGGGGACAGGATGCTCTGGGGTGGCTGTAGCCAGAGGTGAGCGCGGCTCCTTGGATCACGGGGGACAGGATCATGTTGGCCCCCGGCACCGTGATGTCCCCAGGTCCCTGCCTCCTCCCACGGATGCCTTGGGGACCCCTTCCCGGGGACCCACGCTGTAAGCCCTGGCTGCAGCCACAGTGGCTTTGTGGCTGGGGGGGACCCACTGTAAGCCCTGGCGGCAGCCACAGTGGCTTTGTGGCTGCAGCCGTGCGCCGACAGCCCCGCGCTGGGCCCTGGCGCCGACCCAAGGGGTTTTGTGGCTGCAGCCGTGCGCCGACAGCCCCGTATTGAGTCCCGTCTCGGGGCCAGCGGGAGCCGGGCTGGAAACTTCTTCGGGGCCGGGGGAGCACGTCTGGCAGGGACGTGGCGGGGGGAGCGAGCGCCCAGGGCCCCAGGGCCGCGGCCGCCTCCCCTCCTGGGAAGGGCCGTAACCTCGCTGCTGTCGACAGCTTGATTTGATGCCATTAAAGCATTTGCTCGGAAACAGCCTACATCAGGCGGCAACATCTGTTACGGCCCTTCTCCGGCAAAGCCGCGGCAGAGCCGAGGGCAGAGCTGGCCTCCGGCTCTGCCGACAGGTCCAGGTGCTACCGGTGACGAGCGTGTCCTCTCCCAGCCCCAAACGGCAGCGTCCGACCCCCGGCAGAGCCCTGTGCCCGGGTAGCCTGCAGGGAGATGGGACTGTGGCTCCGGGCAAGGCACCTCGCTCAGCACGGGATTTCGGCTCGTCTCGGATGGGGAAGCAACGGGCAGCCCCGGCTGCATCTCCTGCCCGGCGGGCCTCATCCAGCCTCGCATATTGTGACCCCTGTAAGAAGACGCCCGGGGGTGCAGGATGAGCCTCAGGCCTTGCCAGGCGCTGGGATGTGGTCGAGGCTGGCTGTCCCCGTGGCCGGTGTGCCGCCTGCACGCGTGCACGGCCTGCGTGCATACACGCCCTGCCCCTGCGGGGCCCCCGGTGGGCATGCACAGCACAGCGCACCCCGTGTGCATGCACAGCCTGCACTCTTGCACGGCCTGCGTGCATACACGCCCTGCACACATGCACACCCCACGCACGTGCTCCCTTTGTGCATCCCCTCCTCTGCGTGCCGGCGAGCGACCCGTCCCCTTGCACTGGGCGCTTTTGCTCAGCCTGGCGTTGTCCCAGCTGTTTGAAAAAGTAACAATAATTAATTAATAATTAATAATAAAAGAGAAAGGGGGGGGGAGGGGCTCCCCTTAAAGCACCAGCCCAGGGTCTTCTCAAGCCGATTTCATTTTTCAAACCTGCTTCCACGTGGAGAGTGAGGGGCCCTTTTCTCCCTCTTTAATTTTCTTGCCGCCGCCTGGGGCTGCCCCAGAGGCCTGGCTTTGATTTCGCTGCCTTTGTTCCGGCAGCCCCGGCGCAGGACAGGGCAACACTGCGCCCGCACCACGGTAGGGGCTTTCACGCCGGCCTCACCGGATTTTTAATTGACCCGTCTTTTCCCCGGGATCTAGGCTTTAACCGCATCCAGTTGCCCGTGCAGCCTGCGAGATGCAGCTGCAATATGGGGAAGCAACGTGGAAAGTGTCCAAAAAGGGGATGGGGGGAACGGGGTGGACGGGGTGTCGGGCTGGCATGGGTGGCACCGAGCCCGGCTCCAGTGGCGCCGGAGGGCACCGTGTGATCGGTGCATCCCTGAGCTGCCGGCGGGGGGGGGGAGTGTGATCGGTGCATCCCTGAGCTGCCGGCGGTTATGGAAATAAAACTAAATAAAGCCCCGTGTGTGCACGTAGACCCCAAAAAGGTGCTGAGACGTTACCGGTGTCCACAGGGCGCTGGGAGGAAAGGGGGCCAAGCTGGGACTGATCAAACCAGGGGTGCGATTTGTGCGGCTGCGGCAGAGCCACCAACGAAGGGGCCGTCCAGAGCCACGCGCTGTTTGGCACGTTGTGGCGGGGGGGGGTGTGTGCACGTAGACCCCAAAAAGGTGCTGAGACGTTACCGGTGTCCACAGGGCGCTGGGAGGAAAGGGGGCCAAGCTGGGACTGATCAAACCAGGGGTGCGATTTGTGCGGCTGCGGCAGAGCCACCAACGAAGGGGCCGTCCAGAGCCACGCGCTGTTTGGCACGTTGTGGCGGGGGGGGGGGGGGGGGGGGGGGCACGAGGGTGGCAGGGGGACACGTGGGGACACGTGTTTGTGTGTCCCTGGCTCGGGGCTGCCCGGCATGGCTGGCACCGCAGGGAGGTGTGCCGGGGAGCGAGGCTGGACTTGGCTCTGCTGGTGGCTGCTGGGTGTCAGACACCACCAGCACCCCGTCCCCTCCCCTTGTTACACTCATTGCCTTAATGAAGGCAGGGGGGACAGCACCGGCTGCACCGGGGTCACCGCCGCGGCACGGCGCCAAGGGAGCAGCACCGGGGAAGTCCCCAGGGAGCTGCAGACCCTTGGGGCTGCCCTAACCTGGGCTCCCAAATCGCAGGCCACTGCCAAAACAGGCTCATGCCTCCCCGACACCTCCGACCTACTGGTGCTGGGGACAGGCAGGATGCATCCCCCTGCCACCGAGCCCTTCATTAGCTCACGGGGCCCCCGCAAGCTGCTCCACTGCCTCCGAGATCAAACCGGTGACCCAGGTGCTTCCCTGCACCTAACGCAAGCGGGGCTAGGAAATGGGGAGGTTTAATGACGACGGTGGCGAGGCGCTCAGCTAATAGACGTCTGCTGGCGGGAGCAGACAGCTTCCAGATGGTATCGCACCGGGGCAGGGGGGATCGGCTGGGGCCGGGGGAGCTGCGGGAGGCAGCAGCAGGCAGAGACGGGCAGAGCCAGCAAGTTGAAATGTCTTTTTTTGCAGCAGAGCCTGTGGTTCTGGCCCTCCACGCTGCTGCTTCCAGTAATTAGCCCAATAATTAAAAAGAATGGCAATCAGCGGGGTGTTCGGAGGGGCTCGCAGGATCCCGGCATCCCCGGGGAGGGCGTGCAAGGAGGGGCGTAAGTGATTTGCGAGGGGCAGTGGGTGCATGAAACGCAGATCACCGGGGCTGGGGGACCCCAATACGGTGCAGGGGGTCGCTGTGCCACGCGGGGCAGGCAGGGAGGGGTTTTGTTCGCCCTGCAGAGCCGGGGCAGGTGGCAGAGATGGGGAAGGCTCCCAGCAGGCTGGTTAGGAGGGCTGGCTGGGCATGCCGCAGGCAGGGAGGAGGCAGCCGGACCCAGCCGCCCCCCAGTTCGCGGGCACCGTGCTGCGAAGCGGGGCGATGCAGCATGGGGCGATGCAAGGAGATATGAGAGAGGATGATGCAGGGCGATGCAAGGTGAGGTGATGCAGGGCGATGCAATGTGATGCAAGGCGATGTGATGCGATGCGATGCAGAGCGATGCAATGCAAGGTGATATGATGCAGGGTGATGCAATGCAAGACAACGTGATGCAGGGCAATGCGATGCAGGGCAATGCAAGGCAATGCAATGCAGGGTGATGCAATGCAAGGCAATGCAACGCAGGGCGATGCAATGCAGGGCGATGCAATGCAGGGCGACGCAAGGCAGGGAGATGCAATGCAAGGCGATGCGATGCAGGGTGATGCAGTGCAAGGCGATGCGATGCAGGGCGATGTGAGGCGATGCAGGGCGATGCGATGCAAAGCAATGCACTGCAGGGTGATGCAAGGCGATGCAGGGCGATGCGAGGCGATGCCTTGCCAGGTACCGTGCTCCAGGGAGCCGGCGAGGCGATGCAGCGCCAGCGGGGTGACGCCACGGCAGGCGAGGCGATGCCTCCACGGCGCACGCGACGCTGCCCCTGTCCGCGCGCGGCCGCCCTCCCCAGCCCGCCGCGGTGGGGATGCTTCATTTGAATTCTCGCCTCTCTCTCTTCGCAGATAACGAGCCCGCGCCATGCAGTCCTTTCGAGAAAGGTGTGGTTTCCATGGCAACCAGCAGAGCTACCAGCCGACTTCACAAGATACATCACGCCTGGAGAATTACAGGCATCAAAGTCAGGCAGGGCCGAACTGCGAGCGGCAGAGGCTGGTGGCGAAGGAGTACTACAGTCAGCAGCAACTGCCGTACTCGTGCTCTGAGAACAGGGCGGTGGGGAAAT